CGCATGCATTTGAGCACTTGTGTCTGTACTGATGTTCAAAAAAAACATTTTTCATGTCAAATATTGGCCTCAAACCAACTAGGCTCTAATATATATTTTGACATATACATGTTCAATACTTTATGTGTATGGCTATGTTTTGCGGTCAGATTCGAGTGAGTTCATTGCGGGTGGAGCAGGGAAGCTCGTGCATGTCAAAAATGCATTGCGAGCTGAAGCGGAGGCGTGTTTTGCCGCAATAGAGGGAGAGGGTAATGCAGGCGTTCATCGTGTATTGCTGGAATCCGACTCTTTGTCCCTGGTACAAGCTCTTAATTCTGGAGATTATGATATTGCAGAACTGGGAATTCCGTTTCGTGATGCTAGAAGCAGCTCCATTCTTCGGTTTGATTCATTTGAATTTGTTTTCTGCCCGAGGGCTTGTACTTCTGTATAGCACCCTTTAGCGCAGTTTGGCTATCATATGGTGTGCCATCCACTGTGTGGGTTGGATCATATCCCAGATTTTGTACTAGACTTGGTTGCTAGCGATTTCGTTGCATCCGTTGGGTAATGAAAAGTGTTTTTACGCATAAAAAGAAGGAAAACGTTTCTAGGCGGTGCGCCGGCAGAAACTTGGGCCGGTCGCACGCCAGCCTTGCGATCATCTCGATCGTGGGTCACGCAAGCCACGAGCGCTTCTCATCTGAATTGTTTTTTCCCTTCTTTTTGTCTTTCTTCCTCCTCACGAACGTGAGTCGTTGCAACCGTTCCTCCATCTCTGCCGCCACACGCGCACTGCGCACAGGCATGACGAGCCCTTGCTATTAGGGCGAGCCACTGCAGGGCGGAGAAGACGGCGGGGGGCGGAGAAGTCGCAACGGGGGGAGCTGCAAGAGTTTTTGCCCGTGATGCGGGTGTTCGTCGATGGCAGGCGACCAGCCATGGGTGCACGATAGCTGAGACGATACTGCATGCTGGAACCGTTCTGGTGAAAAGCTTCCACTGCTGATTCGAAAAGCTTCAACCAACTGTATATAAAGCTTCAACCGGACCACGGTGCGACTGAAGAGCTACAATCGTTGATATGAAAGCTTCAATTGCAGTTTGTAAAAGTTTCAACCGAACCACCGCGAACAAAAAGCTACAACCGTACTTTCATATGAAAGCTTCAAACGGCGAACTACAGATGATACAACCGGTGTGCAGCAATGCTACAAACAGGTGGGGGACGGGCGCCGATGGACATGGGAAAAAGCTTCAATGGTGGAAAAAAGCTTCAACCGGCTTAGAAAAAGCTTCAACCCGCGACGAAAAAAGCTTACACCGGCATGGGGGAAAACTTCAACTTTCTGAAAAATGCTTCAACCGGCGTGGAAAAAAGCTTCTACCGCCGTGAGAAAAAGCTTCAACCGACGTGCTGATTTTTTTTTGCGCGAACGGCAACGTTGAGAGCTACGGCCGGCAATGGTGGTGCTACGACTGGATGAATAAGTGCTGCAACTACAGAGACGGCTGGGCGTGCTACAAGGAAGTGGCGATTTTGCTAAGGAGGGCGGCGCTTCCTGCAGGAACCGGTGAGGTTGGTGCAGCGAGGGCGACCACCAGCGACGACGTCGGCGATCATCGGTGAGGCAAGCAGGCGAGGACGGACGGCAAGCTAGCTGGTACCTCAGTGGATCACGGAGTTGACGTGATGGATAGACGCCATGGATTTCTTCCTTTCTGTTTTCTGAATGTAGCAGTTGAAAGAGAGATCGTGCAGCTAGAGAACTACTCAGATCGTGCGTCCGCGGGGCGACCGGCCGAAATTTCGGCCGGCGCACCGGCGCCTAGCACCCCCCCTAAAAAGAATATACTTTATGTGTATGTAAAATTCATGGAAAACAATATGTCGAAGGTAAGCACTCAGAAAAGAAAGCCGTAGCCTCCCTCATGCTTATTAGTTGGACCTTTTGGAGCGAACAAAACACAAGAGTTTTTCTTTTTTTTGCGGGAAACCCAAGAGTTTTTCTTTTATGGAAAAACGAAACACAAGAGTTCTCATAAACAAGTCCACACCACCGCCGGTCATCTTTGCGAACATAAAAATAAGGCTAAAATTTGGGCAATTGAGGTGCCAAAGCACTTGAGAGAAATCATGTGGCGCGAGTAGCAATAGTTTTTAGTTTTGCTTAAAAGACAAATTTTGTGCTTAAAGGATTTGAAATTTTAGCACTTGATTTTCTTTTTTTCTTTTTTTTTGCCCAAAAGTTTTTTTTTAGGATCAACCCAGCCACAATTTATACAACGAACAAGGAATTAGAACAATTACAGTCCTCCCGGAGGATACTTTTCAGCTCAGGGGGAACGTCTCCCAGTTTGAAGTAGTCTCCTTGTTTCCTCGCAAGAGCAGCGAGCTCATGCGCCATCTTATTGCTGGATCTTCTTGTAGCCCTGAACGACACCTCCTTGAACAACTCCCCGAGGTGCCAGATATCTGAAACTAGGGGAAAAAACGCCGAGTGGTTTGTCGCCCTTTTGTTCAGGGTTGTGATGATTGTTGCACAGTCTGATTCCACGCACACCGGGCCCCTATAGTACTTACTCAGGGTAGAGAGCCCGTACAAAACAGCTGATAATTCGGCTTCTTCCGGGTCCTTACATGCCTGCAGGCGTTGACCACAAGCCAAAGCCACCACACCCTGGTGTGTTCTAACGATGGAGCCAGCCGTTGTATCACCCGTTTTAATTAGAAAGGAAGCATCTGTATTCAGTTTCCACCACCCTTCTTTAGGCGGTTCCCATTTGCTCCGCTCAAACTGCTTGGATTCCATTGTCACCAGTCCTGCTTGGCTTTCATGTATCCCATTAGGAGCGGTGTTCCTTTGGTTGCTCGTACAGCCCAGCTCCTTTGTTTTCTTCCCCTCCTTAATTTCTATGCGTCGCTGTTCTGTTTGATCCAACACTTGGTCGTTCAGGTGGGCATCCAACTCATGTGTCATACAGTCTGCTCCTCCCAATCTTGTCTCCTCAGCATATCTAACAAGGAAACTCGTCGATTGGTCAATCCTCGCATTCCCTTTAGCATGAATGCAGTCATCGCGCAACCACCAGGCGCGCCACAGTAGGAGCAGAGTCCTTCTCCTTGTTTCTGCATCATGTTTTGCCAGCAGATTCTGGAGCCAATCTACTCCAGAAAACCGAAAATGCTCCTCCTCTGATAAGACCCAATGTGACCTCATTTCCTTTCGAAGAGCCTTAGCTTTTGTATAGTTTACTGTCGCATGGAATTCATTCTCAACCTCACACCCACAAATACTGCAGGTATTGTCTAGTTCCAGAGTTCTTTTCCATTTATTTTCTTTAGTTGGGAGCGTATTTGTCGCCACTCGCCATGCGAAGATCCTTACTTTCCTGGTACCTTAGTTTTCCATATGAGATCCCAAATACTTCTATCATCTGCATCATTCCTCGAGCTCGATGCCAGCGCATTGTTCTGCTGTTTGAGGTTTTCACCCACCTTGTATGCACTCCGGACAGTAAACACACCAGACTTCTCTTCATGCCATGCGACGCAGTCCTCCACTTCGCTTCTAGGAATTTTAATCTTACATATCTCCTCTGCATCATGAGGGTGAAACAATTGGTGTATGAGTGCCTCGTCCCATTCTCTCCTGTTTCCATTCAGAAGTTGATTTACCCACCTCAGTCTTGAACCCCTCTTGAAACCCGTAGTTTTCAGGCCACTTCTCCGTGGGACCCATTGATCTCTACTAATCTGAATTCTCTTTCCATTGCCAACCCTCCAGATTAGGCCTTTTTCAGCAGCTCTAGGCCGTGTTCAATACCCCTCCATGCTTGGGAAGCATCGGCAGCAAACACAGTATCCAGTAGGTCTCCCTTCGGGTAGTATTTTGACTTGAGGACTCTAGCACACAGGCTGTTGGGTTTCTGAAGCAATCGCCAACCCTGTCTCGCAAGGAGTGCTTGGTTAAAAATCTGCATATCGCGAAAGCCAATACCACCCGCTCTCTTGGGTCTCGCAAGGATTTTGTTTTCTCTATCAAGGACACAAAACACAAACTACTTTCCTGAAAATTACTCAGACATTCAGATTTTATTTTCACTTTTAGCTATTTTTGTGTGTATTAGTACCGAGAGTGTTCATCCTGGGAGGCAATTTCACCCACCGTGTCCTTTTGGCATGGCCCTTTCCCAATGGCACGGGAAGGACGCGAAGAAAAATAAGGCAAAGGAGGACGGTGGATGTAAATGACCGCTTGATGACGAACTGGCGTGCGTGCTAAATAAGCCCGATTCCTCCCCTCAACTGCTCCTAATTATTGCCCGTATTTATTCTGTATCTTCTGCTACTCCATGCATCTACTATACTTGATGATCCCCAATTAAAACGGGCACAGGTTTTCCATGAGCGGCCGATTGCTCCATGCACCCATCCATCCATCACAATAACTCAGTCGATCGATCCCCCGCCTCTTTACTTTGATCCTTTCCGGTCACCATCCGGGCTACGCTGCCATAGCTAGCTGGAGGTTGAATGGTCCGTTGGTCACGAACCCATCTTTATTCCTCAACAAAATTAATTTAAAGTAGGGAGTAGTCATGCAACCCAATTAAGAGATGAGCGAGAAGAGTCCCCGGTTACACGGTACATTGCAAACGACTTTCTTAATGAAATCTCATCTTATTCAAACCGAAATTAAGGAGGGGATTAAAACAGACATCGACCTTCACGGTGCAGAACACGTGCATACATCTAAAGGTTGTTGGAGAAGGACAGCCACTGCTAAGCGAGAGTAAAACCGAGCCAATTGCACCAGGCTGTAAAAGATTTGCGTTCTTGTCTTCTTGAGAGTTACTCGCATGGAAATTACTATCGTCGACGAAAAGGGAAAAAAGAAGAGCTACATAGTGCAGCAGAATACACGAGTTAGAACATGGTGGAGATCGATGGCAGGAGAAGCTAGCGGCTGATCAGCAAGCAGCATGCAGCGACCAAGCAGCAGCATGTTGGCTGGCTAGCTCTTGCTGGGCTGCTGCCTGTTGGTGCTGGCGGCGGCGGCGGCGGCAGCGCCGTGGAGGAAGTGCAGCAGCACGGGGCTCTTGCACCGGGGGCACCTGGGCTGCTCCTCCGCCGCCCCCGACAGCATCACGTACATGAGGCACTGCGGGCACCCCACCACCACCATCGGCTTCGTCACCGCCGCGGCCTCCTCCTCCGTGTCCGACGACACGCACGAGCTCGTCGGCGACTCCACCGTGCTCGCCATGGATCAGCTCCTGCGCAGTGCCTGCCTACTCCCTCGCTAGCCGCTAGCCTAATAAGCTAGTGCAACCCGTACTGATGATCCTGTTGCACTGCGCCTATATGCTCTTATGGGTGGATACTGTGCAGCGGTGAGCGCGCACAGGAGGAGAGGAGCTATGTTTGTGTTTCGGGAGAATGGCGCAACCTGCTATATATAGTGCTGTGCCCTCGGGAGGAAGGGGGACGGCATGGCCAGCACTTGAATCCAAGAACCTCCCATGTCTCGCTGGACTCGATTTACTTTTTCCTGTATTCCTACCAAGATCTTTTTCTTTCGGATAAGATAATTCCCTAGCGAGGATGAGATTTTTAAAAAGATCGCAAACCCCTCGGATAGAATCTGAGAATAAAATATTTTTTGTAATCCATCGATCTTGGTCAGGATGATTAATCAAGTTAATCCAAAAATTCTGCTGATACGTTCAAATCATTAAACATTTCACGAGTATTGTTGATGAAATTTATGTTTTCCTAAATATCCTTCAAATTTTCCTATTTGTATTTATATACTTGAATCAAAGAGAAGAAGCATTTTCGCGGTTTATCAAATGATGATAGTGCAATATGGTCAGAATAGCGTGTTGTATTTTTAACTACCAAGAGGCCCATGTGTTGCACGAAACATCAAGATGCATGTATACGAGTTGTTTATCTTGTGTGAGACAAAGATGAACGAGGTAAGGCTTTATCTACAAATGTGGAGAGGGGTGCGGGTATCTTTTTGCAAAATTGTCATAGTTTGCTTTCTATGCAACAGATATAGATCGGACGGTCTATACTGCAGGATGGCAGACACACCATCATCACCAACTCAGTTTTTTTATAAGAGTAGAGATACAAACCATGGAAAGAAAGGGAGTCTAATCCACCAATCTTTTTTCGCTCCTTTTCTATCCAATTAGTTTATGTTTGCTCTTTTCCCTAGTTATTTTCCTGCCAAGTGTTGCTTTTGTAAGCGCAATTGTGTTAGAATAAAACAGAGGTCGGAAAGATAAAACAAAACATTCGTGAACTTTACTTCAGCACGCCCCACCAGAAAAATTTGCAGATTTCGATGCAGATTAAAGCTGAAGATTA